TTTATGTTTGTCATACGATTTTAAATCCATCAGCAATTCATCCATCTGCCACCTCCTGGGTTTTTAACGCCGTGAAACCGTTCTGGGATACAGCCTTGCATAAAGCTCTCTGTGGAAAATGAAGCTGTATCTCATTCAGAAACCAAACCGGCTTTGAGATCATTTCTTTCCAAGGTGCTGGGCTGTTTCAGAGACTGGCTTCTTCCCTACAGCTAGCAGAAAAGCCATGATGCTATCTGGTCTAAAATAAACATTATGGGAGCGGCGATAAGGGGAAATATTTCAGCTGACTAAGAGTAATGTGGGTTCAAATCCAAGCGTAAGCTGATATTGCTTGTAATTTGTTCCTGAGCCAAAAACACAAACTGGGAGTGAAAGAATGGAAGGCATTAAACAACAAGCAGTGTACTCAGCGACTCTGGAAAACTTCAGCATTTTCATTTATGTTATTATTTTTTTAAATAACCTTCAGCTTCACGGATCATAAAGTTAATTTGGAGTTAACTTCCCTTCTCTGTAACTAGACAAAGCTACTATCCTTTACATTCGTTAATGTTTGTTCAGTGCTCCGCAGCTATAAAGTGCTTGAGAGCACTAACCATTATCAGCATCCTCCGTGCCACCCAGCAGGGACATAACCACGACGGCTGCTTTGCTCTCCCTCTTCACCCCACCATGCCCCAGCTCTCCTGCAGCCCCAGCACTGTGATAGATGGCCACAGCCATATAACTCAGCCTTTACCTCTTTTCCCCCAGCACCAGTCACCTCTCTGCTGCCAGCAGGGCTCCTTCTCTGGACACCTCCAAACCAAATTCGCGCCAGCGGCCAAGCACGCACCGTTAGCAGCAGGGTCCACAGCAATCAGCGACTCTTCTTGCCTGTCCAACCACAACCACGGGCCATCTCGCTGAGCTTCCCACCATGAAGAACTCAGGGGCAGCAGCACCGTGTGAGCACCGGCCTGCTCACCAGAAACATGCCCTCCTCGGGCACTCTCCTCGCCTTTAACAAGGGACAGCCCACACCCCAGTTGAGAGAGCCTCCAGTTGCCAAAGGCAGGTTGGCGGGAAGGGAGAACTGGTGGCCTTGAGAAGGGAAGTGATAAGTGGGGTGGGCAGCAGGACTAGGGGTGCAACCCTGATTTCTCAATTCCCAGTACAGTCCCGCTGCTGCCTCGTGCGCAGGTCAGGGTTCACTTCCCAAAAGTGCCAAATCACTCATTTCCTTCTGCTCTTCTGTCCTCCTCCCCTTCCTACCAGATCCCTCCCTCAGTCAGACCAGGCTTTTGCAGGCATTTTCGTGCCCTTTGTTCTGGAGCTCCAGCTCCCCTCTTCAGTCCTTTTTTAGGCAGTATCTCTGCTCTAGCCATGCTCATTAAGCGATACACATTTCCGTTTTCTGCTGGGATGCCAAGATCTATCCCTTCAACATTACAGGGCAAATCAGAGACCCTGACACCTGTGTGCCAGCACAAGTCCAGCCATAAACAGCAATTCTCCACCACTTTCCTATGTCAATACACAGAAAGGACCCTTCAAAGCATGTAAGAGCCTATGCCACAGCATCCTAGATGAGTATCCATGACCTCACGATGCCCAAATCCTTAAGTGGCTGCAAAAGCCTCTGTCACTAATCAGAGGTGACTGCGTGCTACTATACCTCATTTCTAGCTCCATTAGAGCTAACCCTGCCCTCCGCTGAATCTCTCAGCAAAGATCAAAGCAAGCCACAGTCCACACAAATGCAGCTGCACAAAGGTAACAGTCTTTTTAAGGACACATTACACTGGATTTCCATCCTCAAGCACCCCTGCATCTAGTCCCCAGTCTGTATTTGGGGGATCACTGCTCGCAGGCACAAAACCCAGGAAGGAACCAGCACTTAGCTACTGGGAGTATCAAGCCCTTGCAGTGAACGGGCAAATTGCTCCTGGGGAAAGAGATTCCTCTTCACCAGCACTCGCTCTGACACACTGAACTTCACGTAACCCCCCCAGCCTCAGTTTTCAGACATGTCTAGAGATCGGGTCAGAATGAGACATCAGGTCAGGGATGGGTAGTATTGCACCCCAAACACAGGCCGTCTCAAACCCACGCCCCTTTGCGACTGCTGAAATCAGCCACCCAAAACCCACTTCCAAAAGTTTAACCGATTTAATCCTCCTTTCCTACCTGCTCATCCAGAAATTGGAGAGATCGTAACTTTCCTCTTCCCCAAAGAGCCACGAAGATGACAATATCTCAAACATGCAAATTATAGTTGACTTCAAGCAGGTTTCTCCCATGATGATCTGACCACAAACAGGACTGTATTACAGCAGAGGCCATAAACAACCAGAACCAGCAGCAGGAAGAACACCAGGAGCCATTAAGGGGACAAATAATTTACAGCCATGTCACAAAAGATGAAGCTATCTCCTATGACCCAATTCCAGCCAGCGCAGCCTGGAGCTGCCGTGATGAGACAGGTAGCTCTCTTAACACACATAGCTATCGGCACAGCTGTATGCACGCCTTCATTGCCAATCATAACAAAACTGCCTTTACCAGACTGGATCTCCTAATTACAAGACATGAACACAGCCTGAACCAAACCCTCTTTGGATTTATCGCAGAATGGCTCCAGGGACTGGTACAACCTCCACTCAAGGCAACTTGGTTCAAATCCAACCACAGCCATTAGCAAGTGAAAGGTATTGCCAAGCAGCAGCTGTTCAGTGGCTTGCGTGAAACAAGTTTATGGTTTCAGTCCAGATCCCGTCGTGAAAAAATGCCAGTCACCTCCCTGGCGCTCAAAGGTGTGAAGCCAGAAGCATCCACCCACTTCTCCAGCGCTGGAGATGCCGGCGTGGGAGGCGTTCCCATACGGGCCCGGTAACAGCTCCGCAGAGCTGGCCCTGACCTCCGCAGGGTTTTCAGAACCAGGTATGTTCTGCAACTTGGCAGAAACACACAGCTAAATAACAGAAACCACCACCCACATGAAGCCAGAAGAACAAAGTACCAGTGTTTTCCCGCCCCAGACATGTGCGTGCCCCATCTCCTCTCTCACACCAAAAATAGCTTCTACTTTTTCCCTTTTGGCAACAACAAACTGAGGTTTGAGTGCATTTGTTTTCAATAAACTAAACACATTTTGCAAGAATCTCTCTCATCCTGAAACTTACTCAACTGATGTTATAAAATATTGTCACACACACAACTTCCCTCCCATGGTATCTTGGGACTCTGCCTCAAAACACTTTGCGAGCCTTGCTTACCATATTCCCCACCCAGGGCATGGCTTCTGCTCAGAGCTGGCAGACCCAGGCACATGGGAGCTTGAGCGAGGTCCCAAAGTCATCCACCAAGTCAGCAGTGAAACTCAGAGAATTCAGTATGACTTCACTAAAGCCATCCAGGAACGCAGGGCTTCACTAAAGCCCTCCAGTTTTGTCACCACTTTCAGAAGAGACGCAAATACTCACCCAGTTGTCACAACTCAGATTCCTTCCTTTTATGAATTAGTAGTAGCATCAAACCTTTATCTGTAAAGCACATGGCAAACTAAAACTTAACCTTGCTGATAAAAACCTCTACGCTAAATGGAAAAACTCTCAACCCCATGTGGCCAAGGAATACCAGCGGAACAGCATCACATCCACCAAAGCCAGATTAAAAACACTAGATTCAGCAAAACCCTGACATTTCCAGGCATTCAGAGCGCCAACCTTTGCTTCGTGCGAATAGTGAGGGAGAGGTCGCAGAAAGAGTTCAAACCATAAACGCGTTAGGAAATACCCACCACACAGATCACCTCCAGCAGCACTGTCCTCTCAGGCAAATTCTTTAGCTGACCCAAAACACAAAGTTCAGGGAGCAGACCCAGCCTCCAGCGCAGGCAGAAGCGCTTGCAGGCATGCCGGGCTGCACAGGCAGGGACATCCACAGGGTTCAAAGCGGTGAAGGAGAGATGGGTTTATAGGGTCAACAGCCCCTCGCCCCGAGCAGCGGGAGCCCCAGGAGGGCCGGAGCCCTGGAGGTTTTGCTGCTTCAGTGGCTTTGGCAGCAGCCCACATGGCAGGCAGCTGCCTGCACCCACTGCAGCCTGCTCTTTGTGCATTGTCAGGGCAAGGGAGCAGGAGGAAGGGCCGAAGGAGAAGAGAGAACAGGAAATTATAAGAATCGACAGAAAAAAAAAAAAAAGAGGCAATCACTCCAGAGACTGCAGCTGGGGTTTAGAGAAACGTACACTTGTTGCCTGCAGACACCGGCCCTGTTTACCCACCATAAATATTGACACACCAGCCGCTAAACGCCACATCGACAGATAAGTGAGCCCTGTCCCTCTAGCCGCCGCGGGCCGGGGCCAGGTCCCCGACACCCCAATGACACACGGCGGGGGCACCGGGGCGAGCCCGGCACCGAGCAACGCCTCGGATGCGGATGAATGTCCCCGGGCTGCCGTGTCAGCCTGGAACCACCGGCTTCAAATAGGTATGGGGGGCAGGAGCCGGAAAATACAGCAGAGTTGAGAAAAGGGGGCCGGGGGGGGACGACAACAAACAGAACAAAAAACAAAAAACAAAAAAAAAAAAGAGGGGGCTTGTAAAGAAAAGGCCCTTGGGGTGCCCCCCACCCCGCAGACAGAGTGTCCCCGCTAGTTTGCAAAGTGCGGGGCACCCCCCCGAGCACCCCCAAACCCCGCAGCTCCCTGGGCAGCGCTTTCCCTGGAGGGCAAAAAAAAGAAAACAAACAACCAAACAAACAAAAAAGCCACAAAAAAAAACCCAACCAACCAAAAAAAAAAAAAAAGTTTCTCCCCCCAGCGAGCAGCTCCCGCGGCACATTTTCATTTTTACGTAACGGCGGCCGCCTGCAGCCCTACCTGGCGCGGAGCGGCCCCCCCGCCCGGCCTACAGCGGGGGGGTCCCCGCGGCCCCGGGCCCGCTCCGGGCACCGCCACACCCGGGGCAGCCCCCCCCCCCCCCCGCCGCCATGCCCTCCACACGCCGCCTTACCTAATCCCGCCGGCAGCCGCCGCCCCCCATCGCCGCCGCTCCCTTCCTCGCCTCAGCGGCCGGCGGGGCAGCGCTCGGCGCGGGGACCCGGCCCCGCCATCTGCGCCGCGTATTATAAATCCAGAGCCATGGAGGGGGGGGAAAGGGGGAGGGGGCTGTCTCCCCCCGCCAAAGCTTCGCCGCTCCGTCGGTCGGTTCAACCGGCGGGGCCGGGCCGCCCCTCCGCCGCAGCGCCGGCCCAGCAGCGCCCTGCCCTGCCCTGCCCTGCCCTGCCTCGGCGCGGCGCGGCAGGAGGCGGCGGGTCCCTCAGGCCGCCCCACAGCCGCCCCGGCGGGCCGGGCGGGGCGGGGCGGGGCGGGGCCGCGCCGCCCGCGCGCCTTAAAGGGGCCGCACCCGCCCGAAGACGCTGGATGTCATTAATTTCATATATATATATGTACACACACACATATATTTTGGGGGGTGAAAATTAAGGACTCTCGCCCACGCCACGAACTGGCCCAGCAAAACCCACCTTTCCCGGTGCCATTTCAGGCCTTCAGAGAAAGGGTCTCGAGCGCCGCTTGGCTTCTTCAACGCAACCATGGGGAAAAGTTTCAGCCCCCCGGGAAGTTGGTGCCCGGGGATGTCCCGGAGGGCAGAAACCCCAGGTTTCCCCCAAAGGAAGGCCGGGGGCTCCAGGAGAATTCCACAGTGCGCGTTCCCGGCCCCGCGTTAGGGTCTGCACCGTGATCCCAGCCGCAGCAAAAACCTTCTGCGGGGGGTGATTTTTGCAGGAAAATCTGAGCAGTTTAACAAGCAACTGCCCGCTGAGACAGCCCAGGTCAATCCCACACCATTCCCATCTTCCAGTTTCACACCCCAGCTTCTGAGTTTTACTACTGTCCCACTTTTTCATCCCTTTTCATCCTCCCAGGGGAAACAGGGGAAGCCATCACCGTTTCTGCTCCACTGCTGGGTGCTCCCCGCCGCGGCAAATCCACCTCCTGTCCCTGCAGCAGGTGATGCACCACCCCAAAATCTGGAAAAGCATCCTGCAACCCTCCGCTTCTCCCTTCCCGCTCCAGCAGACAGCAGGCAATGCGGGAAAATGAGGGCATGCACAGATTTCCCTGCCACTCTACCTCCCCACAGATGATTTCTCTTTTCCTGCATCTCCACGAATTGCATTTTCCCAGGCAGTGGGATAATGGGGTGGGCAGCTCACGGCATTCCTTGCCCCAATACAGCTGTGTCACCACGGGGCACAGGGACTGTCCCAGACCCAGACTCAGTCTCCTTAAGTCACCCGACTGGATAGGTAACGTAACCAGAGGCGCACACCTCGATGCGAGCGTAAACGCGAACATAAACATTGGGAACACGAGTCAAATTGCCTCAAAGGAGCCCAACATGCCAGGAAAAGCAGGAAAAGCTGCAGTTCCGTGCCCACAGTGTCTAGCAACTTTGGGCAGAACCTTCCATGCAGTTCAAATCCTTATTTGTAAGCGTTTGTCTCGCAGGCTGAGCGTCTCGTGAAGCAAAGCAGCAGATCAAATCTTCTTCTCAAAGATGCGATTACCTTGGAAGATAAAGGACCGAATTTATCTGTGTTGTGTTGTAGGGTGTCTCTGCTCCAGCCATTTAGCATTTCTTGAGCTGCTGGGTTTTTTTTATATATCTGTGACGTTTCACTTAATGAATGGAAGGCAAGTCCTGTACTAGGGCAAAAAGACTCCAGACATTAATTTTACAGGAGCCAGGAGCCAGGGTTTTAGATTCCAGTGACCTTAGAACAACGCTATAATCAAATGTATTTAAAAAAACCCTTAGGGTTGAACATGCTTTCCAGCAACCCTGAATACCCTGCCAGAGCACAGATGGATTTTTTGCCCATGTTCCTACAGTCCAGAAGGCCACAGTCCCAAAGGGAATTGCTGGTCTGGTGTCACAGTGTGAGTATGTGCTTTTCACGGTGGCATTGCTCTTGTAACAGTGGGGATGATTTCCTTTTGTATTTCTATATTTTCTGGCAGTCTGGCCCTCTGTAACTAGCAGCTGCCAGATGCCAAGGGTGATTATAAAACCATTATACAAAACCACTGCACCCAGTAATCCCAGAATACCCCCCAAAATACCCCAAATTACCTAATAGTACCCAAAAATAATGGTTGCCCCAATGTTGTGGAGCTAAATGACTTCAAGTGTGGGTCAAGACCAAGGAGTGAACCCCTCCAACCCAGATCCTGTCTTCATCATCCTCATCTTAACAACCTCCTATCAAGGAGCGTGTGACTCTCCTTAACACAAGAGGCTGGATGCATATGTACGGTATTGCTGATCCCGGGAGAGCAAACCCCTTTCCTGTCTCAAAGCAAGGACAACGAGCTTGGCTTTAAAATAATGGCCTTGCAAACACCTTGCAGACAACAGTGGTGTCCTCTTTGCAACGGGGTTCTGGTTTTCAGAACCTTGAGGCTTCATGTTTTCAAGCTTTTTCCCTGCAATCATGGAAGCTGGAAGCTTCTTGTTCTGGTTAAATCACAGATGCGATGGTGGCAGCATCCCAAGGCTCTGGGAGTTGTGGCTTCACAAAAGCAAAGACTCTGGTGAGCCTGCCTTGAGCATCACGGAGCAGAGGGAGAGCTGGCACGGGTCGTCGTGCCGCAGCCGGACACGTACACATGCATTAAACACAGGAGACAGAGCTGGGCTGTCGCTGTAATCAAAGCATATCTGTGCTGCGAAGCTGCAGATAGCTTACACAGATTTTCCGTCTCACTTCGAAGCTGCCGTTGATAGCTATTCCATCAGATAAAATGGTAATGCAATGTGCCTCTGAAACGTGGCAGCATCAAAGACGGGGATTTCAGATCTCAGTGGAAAACTGGAGTGCTGCCTCGGATTCTTGTCTTGAGATGGTTTACACTAAACTTGCCCCATGCCCAGCACAAATGCAAGAAATTGGTGTATTTTCTCACTCCTCCAGGAAGAAGCAAGATGCAAAACCCTCACTTTGAGACCACGCTCCCATGCAAAGCTTCAGAGGAAAGTAATTACATTTAAAACAAGTTGCACCTTTAAACAAAGTCATCCTGTAATTGACTTTATCAGACCATCAACCCACAAGGACCAATGTGTGTGAAAACCATGATGGAGGTTTTACCCTCCACAACCACCTGTGACATGTGGTGCCAGCACAGGGGCAAGGGGGCTTGGAACCCCTGGGACTGCGGAGGGACCAGGGGGGATGTTCGGTGAGGGGTGGGGGTGACAGGAGGTTTGCACCCGTGCCCTGTGTGATGCAACGTGGCTCCCTCCAAAGCACCTTCCCACCACCCCAGTGACCTGCCTTTACTTGCTCTGGGCATGAGAGGCATTTGGTGGGACTCGGGTGGTATGAAAGGCTGGAGTTCACCTTGGGGAAGCAGAACCATTTTGGAAAAAACACCCTAAAATTAAGATTTCTGCCTGCCACCCTGGAGGAGGAGGAAAGAAAAAGCCTGGGAAGCTGGCTGGCAGGGCGGGAAGCTTGCACCAGCTCTGCATGGCCATGCTCCGTCTGCAGGAGATGACTGCTCCTGCCTTTTTCCATGCTTGCCTTCAAGCTGGCAGTGGTTTACGGAAAATAAGATGCGATGTAAATATCCCAAAGTAGGTGGCACTCAGCTACGTGCAGAGAGGGGAAAAACTGAAGTGATCTTGGATGGTGGCAGTAAATCAGGAAATGATCTAAGCAGCACCAGGGCTACCTTCGTCCCCAAGGCGTGAGGGTGATCCCACCCCTCTGCTTCAGCCCCGCCATGGGGAAGGGACCCCCATCCGCACCCTGGCATGCTGCAGTTGCAAAGGGGTTGTGCTTTCCTGGCGGGATCTGACTGTAGCCATGAGGTTTGGCCTCTCCTAATCCTCTGGCCGTTTTCTTGGCTCCCTTACCCCAAATAGCTGGGCCAAGTGGTCCTGAGCAGCTGCCCCGTTCCCCCTCGCCATGGTGGGTCTGGGTTGGGTTTGCAAGGCCCCCTCCAGGGCCCGACAGTGTGTAGTGCTCCATCTGGCCACGTCCAGCAGACCTGCACACTCACATCGGCTCTTTGCACATTGTGGTGCAGCCGTCTATGGGTTTTAACACGTCGCGGGGCAGACAGGACCACAAAAGGGTCACATCTCTCTTGAAGGGATCAGCTTTTAAACTCAGATAAATACAGATTGCTTTTAAATTCAACCTAAAAGCATATGGTGCGAGTGCAAATATTATTTTCTGCCCTGCAGCAGGGATGGGCAGAGGGGCTGTTTGCAAACCATCAGGGCTGGATGGACATGTGGTGCCTCCCTTTGTGCCTGCTGACCTGCTCCCGGCAGCAATGCCGCTTCCACAAGGACCTGCAGGTCCTTGGCACTGCTGGCTGTGAATACCAGGTGTAGAGGTAGCAGCTAGAGACAGCTACCGTGTTATTGCAATAAATAGCACAGAAATAATAATATTAGAATGGATGAAGTGAATGCATTCAACTCCAAAGCTGTTTGGAGAAGCAAATCACTTAAAAAGAAAAATAAATACTCAAAGCCACGCAATGGCTCTCTCTGGGGAAGAGCCTTGAAGCAGAAGCAATGTCCCATGCCAGCATCCCGGCAATGAGAGCATCGGGTGTAGGAGCACATCTTGCACCGTGCAGGGGGCAGCCAGCCGTGCTGAGGTACCCTGCCCCGACACGTCACCCTACGGCAGGCGTGTGTGTAATGCCGAGTGGTGACGGCAAAGTTTGTCCCCCAGCGAGACAGAAAAAGCAAACGTCCCACGCCAGGCAGTGGTGTGCTTTCCTTTGGTGCCGAATAAAGACGCCTTTGACGGGCGTCAGACAGAGAAATGGTTAAAACGAGCGGAAGATCAGAGCGGTGATTAATGCGCTTCGGTAGAAGCGTGGCGCGCTCTCTGCTTCCTACCCACAACAAAAGCGCCACGGCCCCACGGCCCCTCGCACACGCCGGCTCACCGTGCCTTGCCACGGCCCAACGGCCCGACCCCTCCGCTGCCGTCCCCAGGGAGTGAGGGCGTGCGGGGGGACACTCTCCCCGCCCGCCATGTGCACTGTGACCCCGGGGCTGAGCCTCCCCGAGGTGTGAGTTTGGAGCCGGGTGCTGAAGCCGTCCCCATCAAAGCCACCCCTGGGGACACCGACAGGCGGGACACAGGCTCCGCGACTGGTCCCACATGCATTTTGGCCTCCCGAATCCACACCTCTGGCAGATGGGTTGCTGCTTCCCATGGTGCTGGGGCAGCTCACAGAATAACTAACTAGTCTTTACTGCAGGAATAAATGGCCACAGCTTTATTAAATCAATATTAATTCATAATCTTCAGCAG